GACAGGTTTTGCAGCAGTGCTGCAGTTCTGCTCAATGTCGCAGAGCAGCCTGTTGCCCAGGTGTTCCGACACATGACAGAGCTTTTTCCAAGTCCCAGTAAGTGAAGTTATCAAGTAAACTCACGCCCAAAGCGAACGTGGAACAGCCGAAATGGCCAAGGATCAATCCATCGAAGGAGGTGGGCTTTGCCTGAAGCTTAGAAGCTGTGAAGCTGCGATGCGATTGGCTTTGCTTATCATCATGCCACTTTTATCCTTACAAGACACCACATTCTGCACTGAAGTGCAGGCCCAGAAGAGCTTCGTCTCGTGGGTGCACAGCGTTGCCACAGATGGTCAGAGACTCAAACCTTGTTCGCCACTTGGATACTCGTACTTGGCGAAACGGTGCTGACAACCGAAACTTTCCGAGCTGCACCTTTTACCGAAGTTCCAGGCCAACTGGGATTTCTGCATGATGTCCCTTCAGCCTTCCGTTGCCGCACAGGCAAAGCGGTGGAGGGATATGATGCAGGGACATGATGGAAAGCCAACTTCAAACCTTCAATGCCTTGAGGGGCGAGCTTTGACAGGCAAAGGGCGTCTTTGTAGCCGCTCTTTTCTGAGCCGTCGACTGGTGCCGCGGGACAGTGGAAGTCTGCAGGCATCCGCTTGGGGGAGTTGATATATTGCTACAACTCTACTCTTTGAAGCTACTAAGAAACAAAGGGCATCGCTAGTACGAGCAAGAAGTAGCTCCTGGCATTACTAGTAGCATGAAGCTACTAGTGCATCTCACTTTTCAGACTCTGCCGGTCTGACGTGGGGATGCTTCTTCCCTCCAGGAGCAAGCCATCACCAGCGAGATGCTGCAGATCTGTGTGAAGGAGAAAAGAACGAAAGAAGAACCCCTTGTGATCTGCGCCGGGGATGTTTTGTTTTCAAGCTCCAAAGCCCAATGGACACGTAGAAACAAACCTAGTGCTGCTGAGGCATGTAGCAAAGCTGATTCCATGATTAGCTCTTGAATAGTTTGTAGTGAATTGCTGCCGTAGACGAACTATGAGCAATTACAATATGAACCATTCTTTAGGTCCTGTGCCGACGAATTCGAGGATTTGCGGGCTGCTCTCCAAAGCCTCAAGTCCCACCGGCGATCTTCAGAGCCTTAGCTCATCTCGGCTCATATCGGCTCATCACTCATTGCAGAGGACCTTTCTTCCTTTTCTATTTTCTTTGTTTCTAATGGCTTTGGCGGGCCTCCAACCTACTAGCGATGACCTCCAACCTACTAGCGATCGCCTCCAACCTACTAGCTACGGCCTCCAACCTAATAGCAATGCCCTCGAACCTAATAGTGATGTTTGCGATGGCATCCAGCCTAATAGCAATGGCTTCCAACCTACTACAGGGATGGCCTCCAACCTAGTAGCGATGGCCTCCAACCTACTAGCGATGGCCTCCAACCTACTAGCGATGGCCTCCAACCGACTAGCGATGGAATCCAACCTACTAGCGATGGCCTCCAACCTACTAGCGATGGCCTCCAACCTAATAGCTATGGCCTCCAACTACTAGCGATGGCCTCCAACCTAATAGCAATGGCCTCCCACTACTAGCGATGGCCTCTAACCTAATAGCGATGAACCTCCAACCTAATAGCGATGGCCTCCAACCTAATAGGGACGGCCTCCAACCTACTAGCGAGGGCCTCCAACCTCCAACCTTCTAGCGATGGCCTCCAGCCGAATAGCGATGGCCTCCAACTTAATAGCGATGGCCTCCAACCCAATAGCAATGGCCTCCAACCTAATAGCAATGGCCTCCAACCTACTAGCGATGGCCTCCAACCCAATATTGATGGCATCCAGCCTAATAGCGATGGCCTCCAACCTACTAGCGATGGCCTCCAACCTACTAGCGATGGCCTCCAGACAAGGGATGGTCACTTGTGTCTGTCAGGGTCAAGGGATGTCAAGGGTCACTTGTGCCTCTGTTGTTTTCACTTGGCATGTGGGAAACAAGATTGGGCCGAGGAGGATGTGCTGCCGATGGGCGTGCGCATCGCTGGGAAAGAAGAGTCAGTGGTTGGAAAACTCAAGCCCAAACAGGTGCGCATGAGTTGGCAATGGATGAAATCGAGCAAGGATGTCCGCCAAAACTCCAGTAACTTGTCAGTCCCTGGTCTCAAAACTGAGTGAAACAGCAGAGTGATTGTGACAACGAAGCCGAACCAGTCATAGTGCTTTGCAGGTCCTGGAGGGCATTTTGTCCCTGTTGTCACCTGAGCCTTGCAATCGGACCATGGTGGTGTGAACCTCAGGGTCGACTTTGAGCCAGACTTTATCGGAAGAACAATGACCATCAAGCTTCCTCCTGTTGGTCTCTGAATCTTCTTCAAATGCTAGTAGGTTGGAGGCCATCGTTAGTAGGTTGGAGGCCATCGCTCTTAGGTTGGAGGGCATTGCCAGTAGGTTGGAGGCCATCGCTAGTTGGTTGGAGTTCATTGCTACTAGGTATGCATTCCGTTGCCATCCTGATATCCTGATGCTTGACTCGCTTGAGCCACTTAAGGCGTGGCAGCACCTCCTTGCTAGACAGCAGTTGGAGTACTTGCAGGCTGGCCACGTCTGGCCACATTCGAAGTGTTCCGGAGTTTCCCGACTAGCCTGTGCGCGGTTGTCCATTGCATGCTTTTGAGGCCAGTGCGGTTGAGGAGGAGATTTGCACATTGCAAGTTCAGCAAGGAACGTGATGGATATATATATATATACTCCAACAAAAGATTGATGATTCTGTATTTTCCTTTTGTAGGCTTTTGCTTTTGAAGATGGGTTCATCAACTCAGTTTCTAGCATTGCTTCATCACGGATTTCGATCATCATTTGTGACTCAAAGATTTCGATGGTACAACCACTCGCTTAGCATGTCCAGACACAATCCATACAGTACCGATCACTGCAGAGTTTGACACAGAACACCTGACAAGTTGGCAAAAGTGAATTTGCCAAGACTTTCTCACAGCAGAATTGTTGGAACTCTGAACTTGGCCATGGTGCGGAAAAAGAAGGGGAAGGAGTCGAAGGATGTGGTCATGGCGCCCGTCAAGGCGTGGGAGGATTCAACCTTTCGGATTCCTCAGAGTGAAGCCCTGTTTGTTGGGTAGGAGGGGAAGGTCAAGAAGACCATCAATAAGAGTCACTTGGAGCACCTGGTGGATCCAAATGCCAAAAACATGCCAATCCCACAGCCAACGCCAATCATTTCGCTGAGGTAAACGGCGGAAGGCGCCTAAGCCCCAGCCCGCTGTGGCGGAGAGCCGCAAGCAGCGGAGCCTCCTGGCAGATGTTTTGGAGTTGTCAAAGATTTCCCCGGCATGTCATATTTGAACTTTACTCCTTCATTCTCTCTTTGCCTTATTTCTGGTTGACAGGAAAGCGCATTGCAGCATCCGTTGGAGGCCCAAACTGTCATGAAAGAGACACAACTAAGAATGAAGAATGACGTCATGAGAGCATATGCTATTTTTGAAGGGTATATGGGCAGTATGCTGCAGGGTATACGATTGACACCATGGATTCTTGAGCCTTAGGCATAGGACCTTCTTTTCATGAGTCAAGAAACGATCTATTTCTGGGCCTGCCCAAAAGCTGGGATGTCACTAGATTATACTAGATTTTGGGATGTATCATGAATTTTGCCTGCTCATTGTCTCTCCCTCTTATCTATGTGTTCTACAGTGTTCTACCCTTGTCCTTCGCTGAATAGGGACTGGTGAGACTGCAGAGCAGCTGCGGGGGCGGCAAGTGGTGGAATGGAAGGAGATGAAGGCATGCTCCACTAGCACCGGTTTGGGTTAGGCATCATTTTGAGGGGGAAAGAGAGTCAGTGCTCAAGTGCAAAGAACGATTCGGGTACTGAAAACAGCTTACATTCGTTCTGTCCCTTCGCTGCCGCTTTGAGTGCCAGCGAGCATTCTGCTTTGTTTCTGCCAGGCAAAGGTGGCCCAATTGAAAAAGGAAAAACAAAAGCTACCAAGAAGAGGTTTGCAGTCCGCAGTCACTGGCAATGACTGTCGCTGTGTCTTTCTTTTGTCATGCCTGAGTGTCGGGTGTTGCTGGCTTGCTCATAGCACGTTGGAGGCAGCAAGGAGCAAAAGCAAGACTTAGCGCAGAAGATCCGGCAACTTCAAGAGGACATGCAGGCAGAGAGATTTCCTCTTCAGAAAGCCGTCTGGTTGTAGCTTAAAGTTCTTTCAGGTCTGTAGGAGTCGTGTGAGTCATGTGCTCTCCTTCCGCAGGTGCGCCACCTTGCGGAATTGAAGGCTGCTGGCCTCGAGGGCACCGGTCCTCAGGCGAAGTGCAGCATTGGCCGTGTTCAAAACGCAGTAATACGTCTGACTTGGATTCCGTTGTGAGTGGATTTCTCTGCTATCTCACTAGCTGCGACTCAAAAAGTCTTCCAAAAGAGTACATGGAGTCAGAACATCATCAGAAGATCCACATGTTTCCCTATTTGGTTCAACGATCGCTGTGTTTTCCTCTTTTTCGTTGGTCAACGGTCGATGGAGTCGGACGATGCAAGGACGATGACATGGATCTCTGAGCCCCGCCCAAGATGGGTGGATCTCTGAGCCCGTCCAGTGCGTGTGATCCGGAGAAAGGGCGGATCTGACAGCCCAGCGGATCTGCATGTTGAGGCAACTCTTGATTTATGTTGATTGGGAGAGGATGGAAGGGGGACATATGGTGTGTTTTCTGGGCTTCTCATGGGGTCTAGATTGGCTACTCCCTCTTTTTCCATGTCAACCAATTTGAGTTTCTCAATGGGTGCTTTCCATGAAACGCAGATGGCGGTCCGATTGCTGCGCAGGAGGAGATCGACGAGATGGACGAGATCAATATGGAGGAATTTTCCTCGAGTCTTGACTCCATACCGTTCCAGGCACCCGCAGACCTGTAAGTGCTGATTTGATTGAGAGCTCTGGCAGGGTTTGGATTGTTGGTGTTCTTGGAGATTGAATGCCAAAAGCCTTTAGTGGTCCCTCTGGGAGCCTGTTCAAGGCTGTTCCTGACACGCTCTCAGTCCTGGAGGGCTTGGATTTAGATGCCATCTTTGTGGACGTGAACGAGGTGCTGCAAAGAGTTTATCTATTTTTGTAAAACGGAACGCATGCCGTATCCCAAGTGCGCATGCCCTACAAAAGTTTTCACCTTCGTTACTTGGCAATTCACGCTCTCTGACAGGACGATGACCATCCCAGTCTGTCTGGCGCAGGTGGGGCGTCTGGATGCGACGTGTCACGATGTGATTTTTCGTGTCACTGCAGTGTCGCTTCGGATGTCCCTGGGAGGTCCTTGGTCTGGCGCTCTGGAGGATTTCGTTTGGGAGGAGAGCCTTTGAGGAACCGAGCTGCCGAGTGTCGGGCAGCGCACATGTGAGTTCAAATGTTCAAATGCACGTCGTCCATCTCAAAGAGAAGCACTCACAGGTTGGGCAACGGTTGAAGTTGACGAAATCCAGCAACACGATTACACCAAGTCTCCATTTCAGATTCTTCTCTTCGAAAAGGGGCTGCTTTCGAGGTTTTCTTCAGCTTTCGACACAGGACTCCGAACATCACCAAGCCAGTGCAAAAGGAGGCTGTGTTCAACCGGTTAAGTATCTGTGGCTGAGCAAGCCTGGATAGTCGCTTTGGCTTCTGATGTCGTCCGTGGATTTGGGAAATTGACAAGTCTATTGCAGACAGCAAACTCGTCATAAACAGTCCCTTTGTGCTGATCGTGGTTGACAAGGCCAACCGATGGGGACTGAATGCTGCAGTGGTGATGCTGAGAGGCAAATTCTCTGTGCCAACCGTGCGCCACAGCATGTCAGCCGAAAGGTGTTTCAACAACAGTTGTTGGCATGTTTTTGGAGGCCATCGCTATTAGGTTGGAGGCCACCGCTAGTATTAGGTCTAGGTGGGAGGCCATCGCTATTAGTAACTCAAAAGAAGATTGTTTTTTCTTCTATGACTTCTACTCTTGCATCTTTTGAGTCAAGTATATACCATTTGTTGCTTGGACCCCGACAATCTGCAGCATTCTCTTCCACAAAACCCCCTGCCTTCGGGGCACTCCTCGCATGCAGTGGAGAAGCTGCGGGCTTGGCTCCGTCCTTGTCGAGGGCAAAATTCCATGTCGAGGTCCTGCTCCACATGCTTTGTTTGCCCCTCATGGAGGTACTGCACCCATGGGACAATCCGAGCTTTGCGACAAGCACCGGGTATTGATCACCACGTGAGCTGTTTTCAGACCTGAACGAGATGCTTTTCATTGAGTCCCCGAGATCCTGCAAGATGCAAGGTACGCAACGCATCATGTGCATAGCTTTGCACGCTACACTCTGCCTTTGAATGTTGCTTGACCGCACTCCATGATCCAAGTTGCAGACGAACAAAGCTGCCTGTCCATATTTCTTCAACTTGTAAATGAGGAAGAGAGACAGAAAGAGGAATCACTGAGCTCAGGCGAATTGGGCACTTCGTTTCAATCACTCCTTCGTCATTGACACCCGAGAGCGAGCCGATGGAGGTGCCAAGCCAGCCTGGCCCTGTAGCTTGTGACCAAAAAGCAATGGCTTCCGCCCCTAAACTCGGCTCAAAGGCTCCGGCCGAGTGGTAGTGGTATGTAGTCTGTATGTAGTCTGTAGTGGTTGCTTCAACTTTAGATTCAACGGTTTTGGATATCAGTGTGAGCGGATATCACCGCAAGTATTCTCAGTGTCAGACATTTTCTTGGACCAGACTTGTTCAGACAGAAAGACAAGACAGATGTTTCATCTCCGGACTTGAGCCAAACCCCGTAGAATGAAGCTGCTGCTATGGCTGCTACCGCTGGTCCATAGCCTGAAGCATCGACCAGAAGGTGCGCATGGGCCAAGCGGCCGAAAAAGTGTTAGGGAAAGACCAACATCACATGGGTCTGCCAATGGTCCGCTCAAAGGGCACAACCTGGAAGACCTTTTCCTTTTCTCTTTTTCTTGGTGCGAACTGGCCGAGTTGCAGGAGAAGTCTACCCCTTGCAGTTGGCCTTGGGCAAAGCGAGTGCACCATCCAGGGATTTGCCCCAGAAGCTTCGAGATAAGCAGAGCTACATGCGAGACCAGCACTTAACTGGTAGCCATGTTTACCTTGTTTGTTTACTCTCTGCCTTAAAGAGGATGTTTTGGCTACTTTACAAATCGCGGACCACACCTTCTTGACATGAGACAGCTTCAACAGAATCTGGCCATCTGCGCCAATCTTTGCAACCTTTTGTCCATTCCAAGGAGGTTCCAGAAGCTGGATTTGGAGCGCCTCTATGTGCCTTGGCGATGTGTCGCCTGTTTCAAAACCTGTGAAATCGTGTCATTGCTTCGCCTTCCAACCTGAATCGACCAAGGGACGGCCTCTGGAATACTTGCGCTGTGACCCCAAAGTTCCGCCGCAAGCGGATGGCGAGCGCTGCGCTCCCTTCAAAGGGGACCGGTGTTGGGGGGGGATGCACGGGGACCCATTACGAGCGATGAATGCAAAAGACATCCCGTTCTGAGACCATGATTGATACGTTTCAAGGTTGATGAGAAGGCCAATGTTATATCATTGTTATAGCTAGAACAACATTTTGTTTCTTGACGTTTCTTCAGTCGTTTGACCGAAAGGCTTGGCTCACGTGGAGCTTTCTTCTCTTGAGGAGCTTCACTTCACCCCGAGACCTCTAAAGTTGGTCTTGGGTGTGATGGCCATGACCAGCCAGGAGGAGATACAAGATGCGCATCGCCTGCTGGCTGCAAGCTGTGTGAAGCTGTGAAGCTGTGTGTACCGTGGTATCGGTAGCTCAATGACCGAGCTGAGCTTGTGACTGAGGTGCCACTTGGATGAAGAAACCTGGTGTGTGCCCGGTGCAGCAGTACCAAGACGTGAGGCGCAATGAAGAGTGTGAAATTCGAAGCAACGCAACGCTTTGTCGCGCATTTGTGCCCACAGGTGCCGGGTCTTCCCCGTTTTTGTCTTCGGTTCAACAAATCGGATCCTCGGTGCAAGACCAAACCACCGTGTTCGAAGACCAAACTGAAACCGCATGACGCATGACCCACTGATCACCAGTTCAGTTCGTTGAGGCAGATGACCCACAACCACCCACGACCCCCCACGGCCCTGTGCTATGAAACTCAGCACTCCGTCGACGACTGAGGACTTTGGCCAATGACTCGGTACGGCTGGAGTCTGTCCCGGAGCCACCCGCGAAGTGGGATGGCTTCAAGGACAGCAAGGGCACTGAGGCAGCGATTGCGATGAGTTCATGTACTCAATGCAATCAATGCAATCCATCAGGTCATCCGTTTTTTTGTTGGTTGATGTTTTCTGTTTTCTTGGCGGAGTTTTTGGCAATTCGTCCGATGTGGCGTTTCGATCTTGAATGTTGCCGAGTTACTTCTGTGTGTTCTTGTGATTTTGAAGGGCTGGAAGAGAAGCTGGTGGACCAGTCAATTCAAGACTCCTGCTTGGTTTCTCATTGCAGTGGCAACTTTTTGTGTGAGTTGACCTGTGACATGAGATGGGTTTTGTTGCATGGCTTCAAATCCGTCTGTTTGTTGCATAGTTTCAACCTAGGCTTGCTTATGCTGCTGCAAACTTTCCATGGGCCACACACGTGGGCAAGATGGACTCTGACACTTTTCCAGAGACTTGGAGAAGGTGGTGACATAACACAGAAGATAGAGAAGGTGATGACACAATCTTGCAGAACCTCCAACACAAAAATGTCGGGATGTTTGGATTCGTTTGGATCACTTTGACATTCCACAGACACTTTTTCAGATGTGAACCATGTCAACGTTGAGTTGCTCTGAGCTTAGCGGGGGTTGACCAGTGAGGACATCATTTCAGTCATGGAGGATTTGGCCAGAAAGCCAGTTTCGGTTCTGGGGCACGAATGGCCAGTCCTTTACGGCAGGCGTGGTGTGTGACACTGTGAAGAGTGAATCAGAGTGAGAGATGGGTGGATTGGGCCCTGAAAGAATTTAAGTGAACATGGTACATCTGATTGGAGCCTTGCCAGACATTTTATGGGCGGCTACAATGGCAAAGGTGGCACCAACCTCAGGACATGGATGGAGAGACAGCACCACCTACGAGATAATGAAAGAAACCGTGAATTCGTGTATGCCTACGTCAAATTGAAAGACGAATCGAACGCCATGCCCAGAAATGTTAGATGAACATCAGTTCTTGATTTTGGTGTGGCCACTTTTTAGGCTATCATGTCATGGCCTTTGCCACCTACGGCTGACAAATTCACGAGCACAAGTTGAGGTGTCTTTGGCGAGTTCTATGCCCTTAGCTCTAGCTTGCTGGAATGCTTCCTTAAAGAAGATGCCAAGAAGGTCGCAAGGCGCCACGGCTGTGTCAGTTGACATGGGGCCATGTCATCGATGTCAATGTTTTGCTTGCTGATCCTCTCCGGCCGCAAACAGCAGGAGCGGCTTGATCCACGGGCACAAGACTACTTGGGGAAGCGAGTGGTGGAAGTATGCGGAGGATCAAGTGCTTCGAACAACGCTCTTTTACGCGGAGGCAAGGATCCCTGGTGGGCAGGGTACATGTATAACATTCAAGTCCCGTGGAACTCACAGGCACATTTTGCCAGCGTCGAAACAAAAACTGCTTCTTCGGTTTGGAAGTCAGAAAGACATACACTCTCAGCACCACTCGTCTCAGGAGAATCGCGTCTGCCCTGCGATTCTTGATGCCAATGTGGACAGATGGCAGCATCCAGTTTAGAAAAAGAAAGCTCAGCGCACGCTGCGGTGTGGGAGGCTTCTTGTGTATGATATACTGTATGTAGATTTATGAAAAAAAGCTATTGCTATCTCTGGAGTGTTCAAACATAATTATTTTTAGGAAAAACATAGGAATAAAATAGGACCCCAAAATAGGAATAAAATAGGGCTGACAACACAAAATAGGAATAAAATAGGGCTGACAACAAGAACAACCGTGAAATTGGAAACAAATAGGATCGAATATTTCAGATTTACCGGAAGGCAGGTGGCTCATTCCGATCAGACGCATGGTCAGACATGGTCAGACACAAGTGAATGAAGCGGCCACTGGGGCTAGGTCCACCGGGGCTAGGCCTAGGTCCACTGGGGCTAGGTCCACCAGACCTAGGTCCACTGGGGCTAGGTCCGCGAGACCTAGGTCCACGGAGGGCTATTTTCCCTATTTTTCCTAATTTTTTTTTTTTTTCCTTTTTTTTTTGGGGGGTGTATTTTTTCTTATTTTTTCATATTTTTCCTATTTTTCATTTTTCCCTATTTTTAATTTAAAAAATAGGAAAAATAGGAAAAATAGGAATTGAAAATAGGAAAAAAATAGGACGATTTTCGCACCCCCCCCAAAATAGGAAAAACTAGGAAAAATTAGGAAAAATAGGAAAAATAGGCCAGGTCCACCGGGGCTAGGCCTAGGTCCACTGGGGCTAGCGCTAGACCTAGGTCCACCGGGGCTAGGCCTAGGTACCCTGGGGCTAGGTCCGCCAGACCTGGGTCCACTGGGGCTAGGTCCATTTTATGTTCCTGTCCTAGAGTGCTGCCATTCTTTTCCTTTTTTTCCTTTTCTATTTCTAAATCCAGCTCTTTTCTTTTCCTATTTTTGAGACTCATCCTCTTTGTGTCCTTTTTTTTCCTATTTTCAGTTCCTATTTTTTCCTATTTTATTCCTATTGTTTTCCTAAAATAACTATTTTAAGGTTTTTCAGACATAGCAGGCAGCTTTATGTCATAAATGTAGATGTGAGCAGTTACTGTAAGCATCCCTAAAAAGTTACACCAAATCATCAGTGCACGCCCTTCTTCAGGGAAGCTCCCCGCCTGAGGCTAAAATAAGACACGTTGGATTTCAAGGGAACAGCAGATTTAGGGCTTTGAGGCCACATGTCGCAGGTGTTGATGTGAAGAATGCCAAAGTGATGGTGAAGAAGTACTGGGTCGACCATCCATCGGTCTCAGCCTTGGCCCCAGAAAACCCTCCACTTCAGCACGTGGAGTGCGGAGTTTACCTTTCAACCGCAGTCAGGGTTCTGTGTCCGCTGAGGGGTAGGAGGTGTGGCTCACCCGAAGTGGAACAGACGAGGGAGCCCACTCACTCAGGGTGTGGCCGAGTGAGCTGGGTCGCCTTCCTTTAAGGTGGGGATGCCTGTAGGCCTGACTGGGTTGAATTTGTTAGTTGGTTGTCGTTTTTCAAATTGACAATATCGCTGCGAAGTGGACCAAAAGGGAGATGAGTGCGTCTTTGTATATATATATATATTCACGTCGCTTCGCGACGGTAACCGCCCGCCCCGCATGGGAGGGCTCAAAGACTGCAGTCATGCTCCAGGAACGGGTCAAGGTAGGTACTTCCATTGAACATAGCCCCAGAAGTCACCCCCCCCAACGTGGCCGAACATAGCTTCCATATTGCCTAACATAGCGCTAGAATGTGGGAACGTCGCAAATTGGTGTATCTTTTCCGCAGGTAGCTCGAGACGTTCACCGGATATTTGGCTCAACAGGAGCAGAGATAAGGAACGGTAACATTTTCTAACGAGGGCTCAAAAGGGACTGGAATAAAGTAAAGATATTGCCTAACATAGCTCTAAAAGTCACTATCTAAAGGACATGTCTGCGAGATAGGGACGTGAACGTCGTAAACATAGCCCAACGAGGGCTCAAAAGGGACCGGAACAAAGACCCCCCCTAACGTGACCAAACATAGCTTTTTCCAGGAACGGTAAGATTTTCTCACGAGCATAGCTTGCATATGGTCGAACATAGCCCCAGGAGTCACTATCTCAAGCATGCTTCCTCGAGATAGGGACTTGAACGAGGGCTCAAAATGGACTGGAATAAATTCAAGATTGCCTAACATAGCCCCAGAAGTCACTATGGTCACGGAACAGGTGCCGTTGGTAGAGTTCGTTGGAGTCAGAGTGCTTTTTCAAGTAATCGTGGTTGTGGGGTTAAAGACTGCAGCCATTTTGCGGGTCGGGTAAGTGGTTAGAGAGCTTCCGGAAGTGACACGATCTGGAACGGGTACTTGCGCTCTTGGAGCCAAGGGAGTCAGAATGAAAGGAATATAGCAGATTATAAGATGTTCGGACACATGCAATGGAAACAGCGTTGGATAGTGTAGGTTGATCGCGATAGAAGCTGGATACGGAATAGGTGTAGGTTGTAGAGTTCGTTTTAGTCACAGTGCTTCTTCAAGCAATCTTGTGCTCAAAGACTGCAGCCATGTTGGAATGGGTCTCATCAGGGCAGGGATGACGCTGCAGATCGGGTTAAGGTCCTTCTGTATTCGGTAGACAGAGTGCCTTTTCAAGCAATCGTGGCTGTTGCAGGGCCGCCACCACTGCCGGACGTATCACGATCGGGAATGGGTTCTTGTGCTCTTGGAGCCAAGGAATGCAGTATGAAACGAACATGGCAGACGATATCATGTTGGAATACATGCAATGGAAACAGCGTGGGATGGTTGATCATGGCAGGGTTCGTTTTAGCCACAGTGCGTTTTCAATCAATCTTGGGCTCAAAGACTGCAGCCATTTTGGTATGGGTGTCATCAAGGCAGGGGCTGACGCTGCAGATTGGGTCAATGGTCTGTAG